TTCATCTTTGTAGCCCTAACGCCTAACATACTGTCTAGTCATTGTGGACAATATTATCTTTTTAAAACCTTTCTTTGAAACTTTCCTTCCTTCCTCCCTCCTCTTTGTACTTCAGGCTTCAATACCATTTATCAATGCACTTTGTAAGGTTCAGTTGTTTAGTCTTAATAACCCCAAGGTTTCTGCCATAGTCAGTGCATTAATGTCAATCAAGGGACAGTGTCAGGATGTCTTGGAGAAATGACCATTAGAGAGATTTTGATCTCTACCAGAGTGCTGTCCAAGAGCCCTTCCAAGGGTCTACACAGAGAGGACCTCGTTTTACCAGACTCTTTAGTTCTTGAAGAGCACTCCAAAAATCTCCTCTTGGGCCACCATTTCTTGGCTTTTCCTGAATACAGGTCCTTGCTGCTATGTCAATGACTGTACCAGCAGTCATTGCTGCTATACCAATGCTGCTATACCAATGACTGTACCAGCAGTCATTGCTGCTATACCAATGCTGCTATACCAATGACTATACCAGCAGGACTAGAAGGCCTAATGGGGTCTCATAAATCCCTCAGAGCAGACCTTCACTTGCAGCCAACTCTGGGCAGCAACTTCAAACCACAGGATGAGTGTCCTTACAATGAGATGCAGCTGTTCCCCTCCCTCCAACACTGGAACGGCCTCTCGTGGAGATGACAGTTTCCTGAGTGCACCCTGATGAAAAGCTAGTGTCCTCGCAGGTTGATTTTAGCAGGTTCTTCACAGAGGTATTTCCATCTGAACTCTGCTCACTGTCATACTTGAAAATGGGTTTTGACCTCTCCCAAATGAACTTCTTCCCTTCTCTGAAACTGGATGAACTCAGGGGCACCAAATACTTCACCATCCCATCCCTTGATCAGGATGCTGGGGATCTCCTATTCTTTTCCTTTCAGTTGTACGCGTTCCACTAAGCCTATGAGAAGTAGATAATGCACACAATATCTAAACTCTTACAAGCATAAAGAAAATGAAAATATGGAAGTCTTCTCAATTCTTTTCATGTGCTAGCATTCCCCTAATACCAAACTCCAAGAAAGATAACCCAAAAAGGAAAACTGTGTCCAATATTACATGGGATCGTAGATGCAAAAATCCCACTAAAAAACTGGCAAATCAAACCCTAGAATATATTATAATAATAGTATATCACAACCAAGTAGGGTTTAGCCCAAAAATATGAAGATGGTTTGTTATTAGAAAGTTAACCATATTAATTCAGAAAAAGATATATTTCAACAAATGTGGGGAAAGCTCTTCATAGTTCAAGCTCTATTCCTGACTTTTAAACATACTTAGCAAACTGGGAATGGATATGGCAAAAATAATACTTAATGGTGAACCGTTAGAATCATTCCCATTAAAGTCTGAAAAGCGACCTTTCAATATTGTATTATTGATCGTAGGCAATGCAGTGAGATAGGAAATTGAAATGAGAGTTATATATATTAAAGAAGGAAAGACAAAATTGTCAATATGATTGTCTACCTAGTAAATCCAAAAGAAATAATAAGCAATTAAGACCAATCAGAGTTCAGCAAGATGACCAGATATAAGAATTAAAAAAAAACAAAACAATGAAAACAAACATATGAAACAATTTTCAATCTCATTATAAATCAAAGAAATGTGAATTAAAACAATGCCTTACAAATCATTATTAATTTTTAAAACTTAGTGGTACAATCTTTTAGGAAGGGATTTGGCAACAAGAACTAGAGAAAGATTCATCGTTTGGCTTCTGTTGAAACTCTATCCTAAGGAAATATTCTAAGACATATACATAAAGAAGTTCATAGACTATTTTTACAGAAAAACCTGGAAAAAAATCTATTGTCCAAAAAAAAAAAAAAATCTATTGTCCAAAAAGAGAGGGAATGAGTTATCTAAAGAATCATATATGGTATACACTACCAAGCGTAAGATAGATAGCTAGTGGGAGGCAGCTGCATAGCACAGGGAGATCAGCTCAGTGCTTTGTGACCACCTGGAGGGGTGGGATAGGGAGGGTGGGAGGGAGGGAGATGCAGGAGGGAGGAGATATGGGGACATATGTATATGTATAACTGATTCACTTTGTTATAAAGCAGAAACTAACACACCATTGTAAAGCAATTATACTCCAATAAAGATAAAAAAAAAAAAAGGAAGCATATATGGGCTTAAAGAAATATTGCTTTTATCACTAAAACATCTTTTAAGTTCTCTGTAATAACACTGAAAAATTTATTAAATAATAGTAAGTGAAAAGTCAAGACAATTTTTATGCTTGCTGTAACAACTACGTAAAAATGATTAGGAGAAAAGTGTCATAGGAAGTATAGTACAGTCTAGAACTCAGACTCTTAAATTGGAAGTGGTGACTTCAAATCCTGGGGCTACTACTTCTTAGCTGTAAGACTTTGGCCAAATTATTTAAGTTTCCTCAGTTTCCTCACCGGTAAAGAGTTAATACCTGCAAAGCTCCATGGGTAGCGATGTTGATATAGTAAAGCCACTGATAACAATTAATGTGAGGGCAGCAAAGTGCCAGTAGGCATAGTGTTAGGGTGATAAGATTATTGTGTTTTCATTCCTGTTTTCTAAATTTTCCATGTTATTATCTTTGTTTTATAGTGAAAGTAGATATTTTAATATTTAAAAAATTATTTTAAAAGGAACCTTGTTTCTAATCTAGGCTAATCTCTCCTCTGGCCTGTGATCCTGTTTCCACTCCCTCCTGCTTATCTGGGGTCTGGTTACACCCATTATCTCGTTTGTGTTATCTCAAACTTCCCTACTGATTCACTAAATAAATAAAATTATTCCTAAATGGAATCTTTACTCTGTTCTCTTCACTGTCACACTTCTTAGGGGAAAAAAAAAGTTACAATAGTTTTCTCCAATTCTAATTTCACTCTTCAGTATATTGGAATCTGCATTCTCACTATGTTGCTAATTCCCTTAATGCCCAAAGCTAATTCATCTTTATTCTATTTACCCTATCGGAGACGTTTTAACACTGCTGGTCACTTTCTCCTTGAAGCTCTCTTCCCTGTCCTCTCACATTTTTTTTTTTTTTTTCCTCTCACATTTAGAAAGGAGGACGTGAGAGGTAGCAGGAAGCAGAGGTTTTAGAACTGCCTGTATTGGAAACCGGAAGCTGGTTTCTGCTTGTACGTGAGATCAGGTCTGAAGCCATAGACCCATAGACTGCAGAACCGATCCAGAAAGGAGAAGCAGGTATGGTCAAGTGAGAAGAGAGTGGCTGGGGAAATCCAATAACGGAACCAGAAAGCAAAGTGGGTCAAAGACAAAAGAACACCCTGACTCCCAAGGGGAACAAAAGTCTGCAGATGCCAAAAAAAAAGTTCTGCAGAATCCCTGTGACCACTTCAGCAGAATTGTGTTCTCTAACGTCTCCTTTACTCCCAGAATACTTTAAGGATGCTCCCTTTACGTTGCTCAATACCACCCTCTCAGACTCACCTCTTTCTTCTCTGACTGTTTTTTCTCCCACTTAATCATCCAGCCTTCCTTCCACTTATCAAACATATATTTACTGAATGACCAGTATAAGCTGGACATCATGATATGCCATGAAGCTACATGATAAATAAGAGAAAATCCTTGTCCTCAAGAACTCACCTAGTTGACATTTCTTTCTCTGATCATCTCATGTGTTTCCCAAGGTAAGATCTTGCCTAGACCTTCTTTGTCCCATTTCCACCCATGGCTCCAACTGTCTGCCTGGCTTTTTCATCTGATACCCTGTAAATAACTGAAACTCAGGATGGCCAACACCAGATATTCATGTGTCACCAAACCAGAAGATGTCTCATTATCAAACTAGAAACTCCTAAGTCATCCATCAACTTCCCTCTCTTTTACCACATCGATCCACAACTGGATGGCAATTCTTAACAATACCATCTCCTAAAAGGTTCTCAGAATTGCTCTCTCCTCTCCAATTCTTTCCAACTCTACGTTAATTTCAGGCCATCATTACCTTGAAATAGCCTTCTAACTTTTTCCTGTCATCCAATATCTTCCCCTTGCAGTCCACCATTATTATTGATATCAGAATAATCTTTCCAAAAGGCAAATTTTATTCATTTCTTCCCTCATGAAGATCCACCATTGCTTCTGTACCCATACGTTTTACCCCTGCATTCGGGACCTTTAGATTTCTTCTTCATCTCTTACCACCATGCTGGCTAAACAGAATTGCTTATACCTCCCAACACAAGAAGCTTTGGTCATACTCCATGCCATTCTTTGCCCAAGATGCTCCAACCGTTTCCATCTGACAAATACTGACACCTTTCTAAATTAGCTGAAATATTACTTGCTCTGTAAAGCCTTTCCTATCTCCTCCAAAACAATTGTCCAAACTCTCCATTGCGCTTCATATTTAGAGTGTACTTCTATTAAGGAAGAATTTGTTTTCTATGCATTTAGACATCTATATAATATTTGTTTAGTTATTGCCTCCAACATTGGAGTGAGAGCCTAAACCCATGGGATTAGAATCATGTGCTTCTCATTTGATAGTGCCCTGGACCCAGCATAAGGACCACCACAAGTCTTTGCTGAAAGAATAAATAACTCACAGAATAATGAATAGAAAAAGCAAACTGTTTTTGAAAAAAGTACATGAATATTAGGATATAACATGTATTACAGTTGGAGGGTTGAGAAAATGCAGATTGAGGAATGAAATGTAGGTCAAAGGAGAAAGGAGGGAGAAATCAAGAGGACCCATGCGTGTGCACAGAAAACAAAGCTGACATTAGAAAAGAAGGCAGAGAGTCAGAGGAGATCGGACAGAATAACAGCTGGAAAGAGTCTCTTGGGACAAGGAATATCAGAATCTCAACAAAATCTCTGCAATTTGACTCTGCAAATCCAAACAACTCTCACTCGTTTATCATCTTGATAGAGACATGGCTATACATAGTTCCTACGGAAAGTACTAGGAAAAAACTTACACTTGGCCAGCAAGGCAACCGATCAAAAAATTTCCCAGAGTATATGGGTCTGATGCGATCTGGAGGTTCTACTCCTGGTTCAATGTTCTCAGTCTCCCTTTGCTCTTCAGGTTGTTGAGCCAACTGGCACTCAGAAGGTTCTATCACCAAGCCCATTTGGGGTTCTGTAGGCTTAGTTTCATCTGGATCCTCTGGTTGGGGGAACCCCATGTCCACCTCCACAGGAGGCTGCATCTCCATGCTGGGCTTCATCACCACACAGGTGGACTCTTTTTCCAGTCCCTGTCTAGGTTCCATACCCAAAGTAGGTTGCTTCCCCACTGAAGCCCCTAACTCTTCAGAGTCACCAGCCACAGGACATCTCCTGCTGCCTAGAGCCTGTGAACTTTCACACACCAGGCCCAGTGGAGACTGTGTTACCCTTCCAGGACAACACCCTGCCAGAAAACGCTCATTTTCTAAACCTGCTCTTCCTGGCAACATTCTCAGAGGACATTTTGTTTCCTGTGAGGCTGAGACCCTGCTGACTCCTAAATTACTCCCGTCCATGAAAGTCCTAGAAATATTCTGTCTTTTTAATCTTATATCAAGCCCATTGCTCGATGGATATTTCGTTTCCGGTGAAGCCATCCTCTCCTCATATTTATTACTGCATGGAGAATCTTCTTTTCCTAATCCCACTCTGAGCCCCAACTCCGTGGGAGATGTTGTTCCCATGAAGACCCTTCTCTCTCCTAAGTCATCTTTTCCTTCCCGGGTGAGTGCCACGTCCATGCTCAGGGGAGATTTCCTCTCAGATACCCTCATTCCTCCAAGGGCACTCATCTCTAAGGGGTAAGCTGCACCTGGCTCGAGGGAAGATCCCAATCCCTTGGAGCGCCCCAAGCCTTTGGGGGACCCCACTCTTACGAAAGAGCACATCTCCACTCGGACTTCCTGCCCACTGCTTCCTGCCCGCCACTTCACACCTAGCAGAATTCCCTGGGGAAAAGAAGATGGAGGTCTGTTTACCCAGTTACCAGGGAAACGGGGGCGGGGCTTGGAGCGCAGCTCTTTCCAGGGCAGGACCCCACCCATCTCTCTCCCTCTTTCTCCTCTCCCCCACTCTCTCCTCTTCCTCTCTCCCTCTCTCCCTCATTCCCCCTATTCTCCCTTATTCCTTCTCTCTTTTTTCCCCCTTCTTTAGTAGATTTGGAGGGCAGGAGAACTTGAAGGATGTGGTCTTGGGATCCAGATCAAATGACCCCATACTTCTCTTTGGTTTCCCAAGCAACGCAGTCCCGTTAGGATGGGTTCAGCCAGGGGCCTACTCCTGGCCACGGGCCTATTAATTTTACTGGCGATCAGAGAATAAATAACCCTCTTTCTGGTGGTGACCACCAATTTTAGATCCTTCCTTGTGAAAGTACATGCACACTGCATGTAGTTCTTTCAGCACTTAAGACATCCTTTAAAAATTCTGTAAAGTTACTATATTTGGCAGCTGTGGTAAGGAACATCTTAAAGTCTTTGAAAACACACTCCAATAAATAGGCTTTAAATAGCATTTCAAGTAAATATATTAAAATTTGAAATGCGTTACACAATAATGCATATTGACTTTTTAAAATAATGTGGCGAACTCAAAATTAAGTACGGGATTTTTTTTAAACTCAAGTTTTAATGAATGTGTATTTGGTGAATATTTGTCATGTTCTACACATACAGGGGATACAGAACACCTCGCTTAGAATTTGAATGAAATTTATGAGATTCCACTTTTTTAAGAAAGCCTCATGAAAAACTTGCAGAATCCAAATTTTTTTTTTTTTTTTTTTGCTGTACGCGGGCCTCTCACTGTTGTGGCCTCTCCCGTTGCTGAGCACAGGCTCCGGACGCGCAGGCTCAGCAGCCATGGCTCACGGGCCCAGCCGCTCCGCGGCATGTGGGATCCTCCCAGACCGGGGCAAGAACCTGTGTTTCCTGCATCGGCAGGCGGACTCTCAACCACTGCGCCACCAGGGAAGCCCCCAAATTTTTTAAAAAAGTGGTTAAGGGATACTATTTTACATTTGTAAAAACAGTGTACTGTAATTTTCTAGATAGCTAGTATACATATTCTTCTCCCCCTAAGCAATTTAAATGACTTGATTGTGTGTAAATCAAGGTATGTCTGTATAAGTGTTCATTCGATTCTTTTGTTTACAACTATCTACAGTACTGAGTCCTCATTTTGTGTCAGTTCTGGGAATACAATGGACTAAGCCAATCCCTACCTCATAGAATTTATATTCTAATAGGGATAGATAACCATCAAGTAAAGCAATAAATAAGATCATTTCACATGATGAGCGATGAGTACCATGAAGAAAACAGAACACTTTGATATGGAGGGAAGCTACTTTAGAATTGATGGGCTTAGAAATCCCTTAGGTATGTGACATTGAGCTGAGGCTTTCATGATGCCCTACAAAGACACTAGCTTTTAAACCTGAATAGCTCAAGTTTCCATAGCCTTTTTCTCACTGCCTTGCCACCATGCCTACAATTCCTTATGCCAGAATTACCTTTCGGTTTGTCTCCAGACAGTCCCATTTAAAAGTGAATGTTACCATTCATTACCATCTATGCAGAGTCATTCTTCAACTACACAATGGAAAGATTTCCTGGAGGAGAAGGTAGAAGACATGGAGTGTTGTGGATGATTGAGAGATGCAAGGTGCTGGGAATTCCTGAGTCGGTGTTTAGAGATTTGAGGGCAAAGGCAGCACTAAGGGCAGTGTTCAGTTCTGCATGACTTTATTTAGGCTCCATCCATTTTGTAGCTTCCTTAAGAAATTTTACCACCTAGTAGTTAAACAGGAGAGAAGCGGGCCAGGGCACAACCTTTAAAAGAATAACATAGCCCAAGGACACGACATAAACAGATTAGAACCAAATAGGTCCAAGATGGTGGACAAGTCGACTTCCACTAGACCTAGAGCCTCAGTATATGATCATTGTAACACATCAGCAAGCTGATGACACACCCACAGGCGCCATGACAGTTCCAAGACCAACCATAAAGGTCAAAAAGTGGGCGGTGGCCCCATTCCTAGAAATCCCCACCCCTTCCCCAAAATAGCTGGAATACTCCTCCCACTCTTTAGCCTATGAAATTACCCACCCCTATAAAAACTGACAACCCCCCTACCCTGGTGCTCTTCTCACCTTCTGAGATGGCCCACACTCTGTCTGTGGAGTGTGTTTCTCTCTAAATAAATCCACTTCTTACCTATCACTTTGTCTCTCACTGAATTCTTTCTGCGATGTGACATCAAGAACATGAGCTTCATTAAGTCCTGAGACTAGGTGTGATCTCCGTTAAAAGACCATGGGTTCAAGTCCCAATCTGGGTTTTGGCTGGGTTTGGATCCCGGCCTGTGGGTTCAAGTCCCACTCCAAGTTACACGGTTTCAGTAGGATCTCCCATTTGCTACTAGAATGTATCCAATTATCAGTCCTCCTCAGTTATCCAGAGTTAGGGGGAAAAAAACACAGGCCTATTGTGAGTGGCAGTACAAGAGCAAAGCTTTACTGTGGCATTTCCATCTCTCCAAAATTACTACTGGATCTTAGAGGTACCAGCCACTGGAGCAGAACTCCCCAGGCAAACATTATGACTAAACTATAAAATACTGTGGAATATATTCATGAATACAGAGAATTGGGGTTTTTTGGCCTTGCCTCACAGCTTGCAGGATCTTAGTTCCCCGACCATTGAACCCAGGCCCCAGCAATGAAAGCACTGCTAACCTCTGGAAAGCCAGGAATTCCCTCACGAAGGAAGTGAATTAAAAGACAAAATTGGTAGAAAGTCGGACTCCCCTGCTGGTCCAGTGGGTAAGACTCTGCTCTGCGCTCCCAACGCAGAGAGCCCGGTTTCGACCTCTGGTCGGGGAACTAGATCCTGCATGCATGCCACAACTAAGAAATCTGCATGCCTCAACAAAGATCCTGTGTGCCTCACCTAAGACGCGGCACAGCCAAAATAAATAAATATTTTAAAAATTGGTAGAAAGAAATGAATGAGGAAGCAATACCCTAGAACAATGATGGGGAGTTCCTAACAATGTATAAATTTCAGCATCCAGGTGTTATTTGTGAGGACTTAAGTCAAATGTTCACCATTCTAAATGTAATTAAGCTTGGGAATTCCCTGGTGGTTCAGTAGTTAGTGACTCAGTGCTTTCACTGCGGAAGGCGGGGTTTGATCCCTGGTCAGGGAACTAAGATTGCACAAGCTGCATGGTGTGGCAAAAAAAAAAAAAAAAAAAAAAAATGCAATTAAGCTCACAAATTTGGGGGAGTCCCTATGATATCAATCAAAGTTCCTCTGAAAGGAAGTTAAATCATGAATAAATTATGGTCCTGGTCCTTAAGAACTTTAAAATCCTGATGGGAATGAAAGCCTGAGGAGGAAAGTCTAGGCAGGTACTAACTGTAAAATAAGGCAGATACATATTAGAACTATTACAGACAGTAAAGTATCATGAAACTACAGGAAAAAGATCACTAAATCCAGTAGAAGTAGCCTCAGATGCCATCCAGAGGAGTTGGCATCCTGGCCAAGGTGAGACCTACAGTGATGAGAGGTAGTGGTATTCCAAGGTGCAGAGAACAAAGTGATCAAAGATGCCAAGATGGAAACACACAGGCGACACTCTGGGAACACAGAGTAGACTGGTATGATTAGGTCACAAGGCAAGAGTTTGGGGAGAGGGAGGCTTTAGAAACAGAATGAAAGAAACATGGGTTGGGACCAGAGTTGAAGAACTTTGTACTCTATTTAGCAATTGCATATTTTTGAGTAGGAGAGTGACTGGCCAAAGTGTAAAGAATGGGTTGAAAAGGCAGAAGTGTGCATTAATTTCAGCTTGTACAAATACTACTATGGCCCAGGCTTTGGGATTAGAGCTTAGATTTGGGATTAGAGAATTTTGGGTGACAGAATGGGACAACGAAGAGCTGAAGATGATTCTGCTCTTTCAAGTCTAGGTGACTGGGAGGCTGTTAATACCAGTCACCAAGCAGAAGCACGTTTGGGATGGAATAGGTTTGGTTTGGGGCATACTGCTGACATGCCAAAACTGATGTGACATATCCTATTTCCTGATTATTCCTGGGATTGTCCGAGAGGTATCACCATGACTAACATACCATATTGGAACCACCCCTTGGGATAAAGTGCCACAGACACCGTTTGCACATGACACATAATGTTCTTGGGGTAACTGGGAGGTTGATCTGAAAGGCTGGCTGTTCAAGGGTTCAAATCACCTTCATTGCAAAATGTTGACTGAGTATCACCATGACTAACATAGCATATTGGAACCACCCCTTGGGATAAAGTGCCACAGACACCGTTTGCACATGACACATAATGTTCTTGGGGTAACTGGGAGGTTGATCTGAAAGGCTGGCTGTTCAAGGGTTCAAATCACCTTCATTGCAAAATGTTGACTGAGATGTATATGTATAACTGATTCACTTTGTTATAAAGCAGAAACTAACACACCATTGTAAAGCAATTATACTCCAATAAAGATAAAAAAAAAAAAAGGAAGCATATATGGGCTTAAAGAAATATTGCTTTTATCACTAAAACATCTTTTAAGTTCTCTGTAATAACACTGAAAAATTTATTAAATAATAGTAAGTGAAAAGTCAAGACAATTTTTATGCTTGCTGTAACAACTACGTAAAAATGATTAGGAGAAAAGTGTCATAGGAAGTATAGTACAGTCTAGAACTCAGACTCTTAAATTGGAAGTGGTGACTTCAAATCCTGGGGCTACTACTTCTTAGCTGTAAGACTTTGGCCAAATTATTTAAGTTTCCTCAGTTTCCTCACCGGTAAAGAGTTAATACCTGCAAAGCTCCATGGGTAGCGATGTTGATAT